AAAATCAATCACCGTCCTCAAGAGTAAACTATGTGCAAAATATAAAATAAAGTGATGTGCAAAACAAACCCCTTTACAAATAAATACAAAATGAGTATGCCATCTGAAAGCCATGATTGCATTATCATTTGACTAAATAAAGGAGACTTCAGAGAAACTGAAAGTCTCATTGGGACTTATCCTATTGTACAAAGATGGAGATTTATACAGTTACTTATATCAATTCCCTTGCCTGAGGCTGCTGCTTCATTTTAAATCTGCTATTACAGATTCTAGGTTTAATTATTTTGCCTATTAGAAGCTACAGATACACACGCATAGCTGTACTAATAATGTTTTGGACATGTTATCTTTTCCTATGCAATAGTTTTTTGAGCAAATATTACAAACACAGATGGGTAAGCTTTCTTGAGATTACAAATGTGCTCATAATTACTCGCAAACCTGATGTGTTTTATTTCTTAATACTACTGTTGCATTTTTTTTCTTGATTTGTTTAACTCCCCATTACGTTAATTTTAAAATATGTATTGTATTTTGTATTGTATTTTATTATTTGTATGCCGCCCTTCTCCGGGAGGACTCAGGGCAGCGAACAATTNCCAGCCGCATTTAGAACGGAGTGCATGTTGTGTTGTATTTTAAACCTATCTTTTCTTTCCTTGTATTTTATTTTTTGATTGTATTTTTGTATTGTAAGCCGCCCGGAGTCCTACGGGATTGGGCGGCATATAAATGTTATTAAAACTTGCAAACTTGCAAACTTATTTGAAAGATTTGTTTATTATTTGTACACTGATGCAATCATATGCAATCAGCAACTCCAAAGAGAAATACGGTAAAATAAAAAGGTATAAAAATAAGACAAATAAAGTTCAAATGCAACATATGCATATGCATTAGGCCTCTAAAACCCTCTGGGAAAGCCCAGCTTTGAGCTTTTTCTTGCAGGCAAACAATGATGGCAACAGATGCTACAGCAAAAGTTGGAATCAAATCTCCCGTTTCCTTTCTCTGTTTTTCTTGCGAATTCTGCTGGCAACAATGCAGAAAAAGGAAGATCACAGTAAGCCTATCAGATGAAGTATCTAACAGGGCATTATGAGTTGTGCGGAATGTTTCTAGGACCTTCTGTATCTGAAGTTAATTGTACTTGTGCAAAGCAAACTTATTTCTTAAAATTTTGTCCTATCTTAGACTTTCTGCATCATAGATTTATGCCTTGACAGGTTTTCAAGGGAATCTGATGTTTAAATATCCTGTGATTTAATGAACACTTAAATGCCTTATTTTACCCTCTGGTAATTCATTGGGGCATTTGTCTAAAATTGAAAGGAAGTCCCCCCCCCTTATTGTTCATAAAATTTATTTGTGCTTTGTGTCAATTCTTCAAAAAAGGAAGTATTTTCACCCACTGTACATCTCAAAGCTACAAGTGCCCCAGCCATGATGCTACAGAGTTTAAATAGCAATAATAGTGCTATTTGTACAGTGTTGTTGTAATATTATTCCCAGTTTATTTCACATAAGCTGTACCCTAAATTGTATTTGAACTTCAAAACTGCTTCCCTATCATACCTATATTTAATTTATGTTTAATAATTAATTTATGATAACAACTAAAGGGATTTATAAAATATTTGGAACTTTGTACTTAAATCCTTTGGAAGTTTAGAAGAAACTTTTGTTTATAACTTGCTACATACTACAATGATAACACCATGATACTTAGGCCTTTGACTAGAACAAAAACTATCAGAAAAGATCCAGTCTGAAGACTATGACATTCAATGAATACACAATCATCATATAGAGCCGAGGTGGCGCAGTGGTTAGGGTGCAGTACTGCAGGCCACTTCAGCTGACTGTTATCTGCAGTTCAGCGGTTCTAATCTCAC